ATATTTCTGATAGCCTCGGGGAAATCTGAATGCTAACACTTCTAGCAAATCGACATATCCATAAACTATGAGATCTTGTAGTATTTTATAAAAATTTTATCTTAAATGAGTTAGATCCCAGTTAAATCATAGGCAAATCATATTCCCCTAAAACCAATATTATGTACAAGAAAATATATATTTCTCAAAAACCAAAATAAAATTTGCTCCATTAAGACTTAATCTATTACAAAGAAATAGACATCAACATAATTCTGGATTGTAAAATATGCACAATCAGCAAAAATATCATACAGCAGATGATCTTAGTTGACTATCTGCAGTATCATCATCTTCTCCAAATCCTTCAGCAATCAATCGCATCAAGTTATGTGCCACCTTAGCATTCACCAGATCTCCTGCATGCTCAAAGACTTTGTTCATGGTCTGCACAAGAAGCATATTAGCGATCAATCAAGCTTCAGAATTTTGATGAACAACATAAAAATATCATTGCAGAGAAACTTAACGTATAAAAAGATCACTTTCATCACCTGAATAAACCATTGATTACTAGGTGCAAATTGCTCGGCCAGTTCCACACACCGAGATGCAATTTCAGTTTTGTAATGATTGTCACTAATGCTAATCATGTAATCAATCATGCGATCAACAATCACTTCCACATTGGAGAATTTGGTCATTTTATAGAGTAACTCAAACGTTTTTCTCTTCAGTGTATCATCTGGATCCTGTATGAAACAAATGCAGTTTCAAAGATTATCAAGGAGAAGACAATTGATGAAATGCATATATGGTAACAACGTTGTATACAACTCAACTGTTTAAACACAAAGAGGCAATCTTTTCCTTTTCCTTTTTGGTATGCTAACTAATATCCATTGAAAATCAAAAGACATTTTCCCGTAGAATTCTCTGAGAATGTAAACCAATCTCACCTCCAAGCAATCAATCACAGCCAGCTGGTGTTGTTCAGCAATCTCTGGGCTTATCTTTATCAGCCTACCAAGGCCATCAATGCCCATGTATTGCAAATTGTGACTGTCACTCTGCCAAAAAGCCCAGTGCTTCGAAGTGAGTTATTAAAAAAAAAAACCGCTCCAATATTAAGTTGAATAAACAAGCACAAAATGCAGGAGGCAAACCTTCAAAAATCTAGATATCACATCAGCAGCAGCTTCTAATAACTTCGTATTGGGGTGTATGGAAGAAACGCAGCAAATGCACTCATAAAGAATGGCATTTCCTATATTGCTTGCTGAATCGCACTTTCTGAATATGTCTCCCACAATAGTATACATACTTTCACTAGCTTGCTTGTCACCAGTTCCCAACAGCGCCAGAATTTTCAACAACTTGATCTGAATAATTAAATTAGTGATTTTTACATGAATCACATCCCATTGAAAGAAAGGTCACATCCATGTTCTTTTAGCCCTTGAATGATAAGGAAGGAAGGAAATCAAATTACACAAACATACCTGGATGAATGGGGCCGGCATCTGATGATAATCATAAGTCTTGGGCAACCTGCGCTCAGCAACTTGCTTGAGAATGCTTACAAAGCTGATGACCAAATCCTTGTAAAAGTTAACGTCTACAGTGATAAGATCGAAGAGTGGGCAGAGAGTGGCACCCATAACGCCAGGATCATTGTCGCAGAGCCTCTTGCGAAAATTGGAAACCAAATGGGAGACAGAGGAGGGCGACTTCTGGTAGAACCGGTGGAGGGCCATTATAGCCTTCTTTCTGACGGCCTCCTTTTGATGGCCAAGCAGCTCGACCACTTGAGGCAGAACCGCGGGAATCGTCTCCTCGTTGATGAGCTTACAGACGGCATTAAGCGCAGCACAGACCACCAAGTAATTGTCTGACTTTAGATCCTTCTGGATGGTGTTCACGATGAGGATGATAAGGTCGTGATCGTCGTTCAAGAATAGAGTAACAGCCAGATACCCCGTCCGCTTGAGTACGAGGCTATCATCGTGGGTCATCTTCACGGCATGGATGTAGCCAAAGGAAGCATCGTGGCCCAGCATTTCCACGTACACCAATCGGATGATATACTCCTTCATCTTCCTCTTCGGGATGTTGGGCTCACCGATTCGCCGTTTCAGGGTCTCGATCTCATGAACAACGATGCGATCTTCCTCCGCCTTAGATCGTGCCTCTCCGATGGACTTCACCAGATCCAGAAACTCCTTGGATTGCCCGAACCCTCCCTGGGAGCCCATTGCTAGCTCCCTCCCTATCGTCTTCAATTGCTCCAGCTTTTCTTCTCTAGCTAAAATTCCTATCTATCTCTGTGTGTGTCGTCGTATATCAATCAAAAAGCGGGATCAGACACAACGCATTTCTGATCCAGAGAAAGTAAATCGGAGGTCGTATTCTAGGGTTTTCAGTGAGTGGAAGTAATTCGTGTAAACTGAATGTAGTTACTTTGCAGAATAGAGGAGATTAAGGAGATAGAGATCTGGAAAAATCTGAAAAACGTGAAAAATGTAAATGAGAAACAGAGACGAAGGTAGAGTAACAGAAAACAGAGTGCAGAACACGCACGTCGCTTTGGTAGAAGGAAGCGATTTACTGAGCGCGGGTGAGAAGTGAAAATCAATTCACAGGCAAATAATGAAGATGAGTTCTCCGAATAGTCATTTTTTCAATTAACAGAAACAGGAGAGTGACGTGGATTTTTTGAATATATATATGTATAAATGAAGATGGTAAAATAAGCAAGGTAAAATGAGTATTTTACGGTATAATTAACAGAAAATATATTTTATATCAAATGTATTCTATCATATTTTTATATAATTCTAATATGGAAGTATGTTTTTTGTTTTGGGGTAAAATAGACTACAACTTATGATAGTGTTTTATAACTCGTCCCAGAAAAAGTAATATTTTTCATGTGTAGCACTTATAGAATATTCAAATTTATATACAAGTTATATGATTCATGTTTAATTGTGGCAAAATACTCTAATTTATAAATAAATAGTATAAGTTATAATTTCTTCCTAATGGAAAAGGAAGAAAGAGTAAGAGGAAATCAACTATTATTTTTCGTAGATTTCTGTTTTGTTGGACCAAAATCTTTTGCTTCCTAAATATAAAGAAAAAACCATCACGTTTTACACCTATAAATAA